ACGAGGGGGTGGCCGCCCTCGAGACAGAGGCAGAGAATAACCTGCTGCCCCAGGAAGAAGAGAAAAAAAAAAGGCGCATAAAGAAATGTGTCTTGTTTTTTTTTTTGGCTTTAATTGTCTCACCATTGATCCCTCAACAGCTTCTTTGCAAGGAAGTTCTTCCAAGGACTCAGTCAAGCAACAATCAATCTAATTGTTATTCATAGCACAAGTCATGGTATCAAGTTATCAAGGTGTCTTTATTACCCCCGAGGGGCACGTTGTCGTGCTGCCAGGAGTCCACAGTCAGACAAATCAAATCTTACCAATAAATACTGGAGGTAATCACATCAATCACAGCCGGTCGTTTAGAGAGGACGCCGCCCGCGGGGACCAGCCACTTCTTACATCCTGTACATTTCAGCACAGGACACAAAAGACTGTAGCTCTAATCCATATCCAGGAATACTTGGCCAGTACTACGTCAAGTGAGTACACCGAGTGTATCAGCCTCCGTACTTCAACTGTGATTCCTTTAAAATCCAACAGTGTAGTTGACTGTTGATAATCAGACTGGTTCATACCTGTACGTATATTTTTGTTTATTGTTTGTCCAATGTGATGATCCGATATACAGATATATTTACTAGGGATGTCGGATATTAACTTTCTGCCGATATCCGACATGTCGATATTGTCCAAACACTAAATTTCCGATTCTGATATCAAGCGATACCAATATAGGGGGCAGTGGTGGCCCGGTGGTTCAGAAGTGCCGCCTACTCACAGTGATAAAGCAGTGTTTTTCAATTATTTTCTGCCAGAAGTCCCACTCCCCAAAATAAGTACTATTAAGGGTATTAAGGTAATATTTATTTGTTCATCTGTTCAAACCACTGTATGAGTTACTGGCAGCAGCGTTCTGTATACAACCCCCTGATTATTAAAAGATGAATCAAATGAGCTGCAATGCTGCCATCTAGTGACTTTATCTTTCATATTCAGCCGTTTTTCCCCAAAACTATTTTTAGGACCCAGGCATTGCGTTATCGGGTTTTCATTATCAGAGGAAAAACCAATAACGAGTCTTTCAGACGTTACATAATTATGCTAATTTCAGGCTGATAATATTGGTTGGACGATATTATCGGACATCCCTAATAGTTACATATGTAACATACATACCAATATATAACATATATTTACTATATGTTTATACAAAAATATATATACCTATGGATATCTTGAAAACACATGCATATTTATATACATGCACATATATATGCATTGTTGATTTATTTTATTTTCTATACAAACTATATGTAACATATATAAATATATATGTAAATGTTCAGAATTAAATTTTAAAATTTTAAAATTTTGTTAAATTTGTTATACATTTGGATTCTGAATGTGTAGGCGTCTCGTTCTGGTTTTCAATAAATTTGTTATACATTTGGCTTCTGAATTTGTGTAGGCGTCTCGTTCTGGTTTTCAAACCTGTAAAATAAAGGCATTATTCAAAATAAAATACAAAAGTTTTGAAACTTAGCATTTATTTCAGTTTCGAAGAACAGAATCACTGAAACATCTGTGACACGACGAAAATCAGCAAAAAAAAACAAACAAAAAACAGCACAAATAGTTTCAAGTCATCAAAATATATGTGCACAATTCAATCTTTTCTCTTTTTTTTTTCAACTTTGGACGTTACATCAGGGACGAGGGTTCATTCAAAACCAGCAAAAGACCAAGATAAATAATCAATAACATTAGTTTCGGACTGGACACTCAAATATATCATGAAGACAAAGCAGATGAACTCAGAACACAGATACGAGTCGGGTGTGTTTTTCTGTTCACACACAGAGTGAGATGTGACTCTTCCAGCTCGACAATCAGCTGAAGAAACAGGCTGGATGAGTCCGTGGGGTAATTGTGAGTTTTTGTTCTACCTGTTTGAGAAGGAGGAAATGGAAACATGTGCTTCAGGGACCGTGGTACACTTCACGTCTAAGTGCCTCAGTTGGATAATGTTACAGATAACAAACTCGTCTGAAGCTCGTCTTCCATTCGTCTTCCATTCGTCTGAAGTTTTTTGAGCATAAAAATATAATCTGTGAACCTACCCTGCACTTCCGAATGACACTGCTACAAAATAAAATATTACTTTAAAAATACAGTCATGTAGTCTAAGTTTTTTGGTTAAAAAAAAGTAACCGTTCTTTTGTTTGAAAGTAGTGATTTTGAGATACAGACAAGCTAACGTGACGCTAACCCATAATTCCCTGATTGGACATCACAATAAACGATCACTTACATTTTTATAAAAAGGTTTGATTAAATCTTTCAGCGAAATCAAACCCATACGTGTCACGATCAACTACGTTCACACAGTTACTGTCCTGCGCTCCTACGTTATGTGCACTCAGAGTGCAGCTACAATTAGTCCGTTTCAAAGAAACACCAAGTAAGGACGGAAAAATAAAAACTTGTGCAGACGTTCAAAAGTGAAAGCATCTCCGT